GGTTTTGCATGATATTACCCTGCTGGTGGTTGTCTTTTCTCCTTAGTTATCCATGATACTACATTGATGGTGGTTGTCCTTTCTCATTAGTTATCCATGATACTACCTTGCTGGTGGTTGTCCTTTCTCATTGGTTTTGCATGATATTACCCTGCTGGTGGTTGTCTTTTCTCCTTAGTTATCCATGATACTACATTGATGGTGGTTGTCCTTTCTCATTAGTTATCCATGATACTACCTTGCTGGTGGTTGTCTTTTCTCATTGGTTGTGCATGATACTACCCTGCTGGTGGTTGTCCTTTCTCATTAGTTATCCATGATACTACATTGCTGGTGGTTGTCCTTTCTTACTGATTAAGAGTGTATTAAGTTCCAGATTATGTTATTCTTTCTAACTTGGTAAAGTGTGATTAGTGTATGTCAAGCTACAGATCAATATATTACAAGGTTCAAGCCATGATAAGCTGTTGAACATGCTGCACCCTTTCAGCTGTGTGGACATTATAACCATGACAGTGACTTCCATTATTAGCTTAGTAGTTGTAATTTAAATTATGAGTGCTACTGACTGGTTGCCCTCCATCTGATTAACCATTCTAAATTAGGGATGGCTGTGCCTGAGCTGTGAGATTATTTGATCTGGCCATTTGGCCACTTGAGTTACATAAGAGCCTTTTAAATTCAGAATACATTTCATCTTTGTTACTTATTAAGAAAGACAGTCTTCTGTTAGTTCTCTTTTCTCATAATTGTGAATGATGTTACCATTCTTATAATCCTGTTTTCTTACCAGTTAATAGATATGACCTTTCTGGTTGTTCATTTTTCTCAATAAAATTAAAAATGATATACCATTCTGATTGTCTTCCTTTTTATTAAGTAAGAACAGACCTTCTGGTGAGTGTTTATTGCCTATAACAACATTTCTCAACCTTTTTGATACCAGGGAGCTGCTCCCTGCCTCCATGAACTGTTCAAGTACAAGTAAAAACTATTATGATTTACATGAGAATACTCTAAGATATTTTGTTAATTTGTTTGTTTATGTAAAATCACAAAGGCCAGCAAGGTGATTGTGATGGACTGGCACTGGTCTGTGGAATGGTGATTAAGTAACACTGACCTATAACACTTCTTGCAAGTCTTTATTTTGAAAAGCAGTCCAAATTTATGTAGAAATAGCATATATATATAAGGTATAAACATTATCATATTTGTATTTTGAAGTTTAATAGTCATATCTGCTCTACAAAATGTATTTTGTGAAAGTTAAAAGCTACTAATTTCAAAACCAACAGTTCTCTTCTTACCATTTGTGTATGTTTCCTAAATGTGTACCTTCAGAAGGTGCATTAGTGTGTCATGAACCATTCATGTTCAAGCAATGCATGGTGAATCTACTCTGAAGTATAATTTCAACAATCGTATTTGATTCTTAGTGGTAAACAAAAAAATCATGACCTATAGTTTGGAAAATCAGGAGCCTATAAAAAATACAACATTATTTGTTTATTTGATAACCTGAATATTTTAACATGTATTTTTTGACTGAAAGTATTGGAAAGCTTGTAAAAATAATATAATTTAGCTGGATAGTTTTCTTTTTTAACTTATTGAGAATGTTGTAACCTTACTAGTGATTTGATCTCTGTTTATACTTTCGCATTCTATTATGAATATGAAAGTTGATGTTGTGGCATGAAACTTATTATGGCAAGGTACCTTGTAAGTGTAATAGCATCTTTATAATAAGAAAGTTGTATTGTTATTAGTTATGATACAAATGTTAAAGTTTTTATTCTAATGGGATAGTGTATTGTAATCATGTGCCACATAATTGTAGCAGTTTGTATTGTGATAGCATGGCTATTGTTATTACTTATGAGACAAATGTTAAAGCTTGTATTCTGATGGGATAATGTACTGTAATCATGTGTCACACAATTGTAACCTTTGGGAACTGCAGACTTTATTTTACTTCTTTATTGGAGACAAATGTTACTTTTCAGGGAATACAGATTGTTAAGCATTGAACAATCAAGTTTGTTGTAATCAAGTGTAGTAGTTTTGAGAATTTAACTTTCAAGTTACAAAATCGAAGAGAAGGTTAAATGTCTGAAAATTTTTAACCTTAACTAAAGCTATTTCCAGGCCTGTATTTAGAAGGTAGTAGTTTATAGGTATATCTGAAACCATAGGTTCTAATGTCTTCCAACTATTATTACAAGAAGTTTTTACTATTGCTTTTTTTTTGTATTGAACTTGTGGTAGACATTTATGGTGTAGAAATAGTACTTGCGTTAGACATATACTTAAGGTGTACAGTTAGTATACAATATTAATTAGAATCTCAAATATGTAAAATATTTTAATGTAGACATCCATTTAAGAAAGAAGTATTTTTTTCAAACTTGGCCTTGGCTGCAGCAAGTGACGTTTATGCACCAAATTTCAAAAGTATTAGTGTCTTGTCCCAATTAACATATGACACGTGCATGACATCTAGAATCACACTGTATGACATAAACCATGAATCGGAATATAATGAAGCCTGTTGTATGCTCTTATAATTTTCTAGCAGCATGTATTGACTTGATCTTTACATTGTGTTTTTATTAGGAATTCCTTTTTCTGTCTTTATTTTAGTTTGATTAAAACCTTCTCTTAGATTGTTTTAAATTTGTTTGATTAATAAGTTGTTCGGAGGGTTGCACTTTATTAAATTATGCATTGCATCATTAATAGTGCTTTTCTTGCTATTCAGTGTGCTCTCCTTTTGTTTTCCTGTGTTACCATTATTATTAAATTTCTAGAATTCTGATGCTGATGAAGATTGTTTTTGTTATTAATAATGTTTGAAGAATAGTTTACCATTTCAAAATATGAAACAAATGTCTGGAACTTAGTAAATTAAAAGCTATGATTTGCTTAATGAATATATTTCAGTAAAAAGTGCTTTTTATTAATGTGAACAAATAATGAATAATTTTATTGATCTGTACTTATCATATGATTAGATTTTATAACTTGTGTTTAACCTTATCGTACCAAATTTTGCATAGGTATGGACACTTTTCAGGGATCAATCGGAAGGTTCAGTTGAAATACCAACCCAAAGGTCGACCTCGTTGCTCTAGCAGTGATGAAGGTGAGATTGAGTGATACATATTTTTTAAATTCTTATTATACAAGAAGTACTTCACATGCATTTCTTAAGAAGTGTTCTTTTTACTGGTGTTTGATGCAGTTTTGAAAACAACTTCCATGCATTATCTGGCTGCAGATTTGATATGTCACTTGTGTGTTTTATGGCTAAAAATATTGCTATCTCAGGAAATCATAGAGGAGGGAGGTTCTTATTTTATATTTAACTTGTCTATATTTCAAATTCGAGTTTCTAATTCATTAGCTACTTATACATGTTGTATGGTGGGCATAATAAAATGGCAACTGAATAATAAGACAACTGGACATGTTATGTGACACACAAAATCGATATTTAACATTTTTTTCTTTACATTTCCTTTTAAATTAAGAAATTAAAACATATATAATATCAAAATTTAAATTATAGAATACGTTTGGATGCCAATTTCATTGATGTAAGTAGTAAAAATGTTATTTAATAAAATTTTGAACATAATGCTCCAAAACGTTGTGACATGTGCGCTTTAACCTACCCAGGCGAAAGGGTTAAAGATGTTGCATATGGAAGAAACATTCCTGCCAATAAATTATAATGTTAGGCTTCAAATATGAATTTTTGAAGACCAAAAAGTTATCAAATTACTGTACTAGTACACTCAAAGTCACTGTAATTTAGTCAGGTCTTTAAATAAACTGTATGTGGGTTAAAAAACCCATTCCTGTTCAGAGCTATGACTAAATCGTCACACTTAAATGGTTTTGGCAAAATTATTATTTTCTCCTTCAAGTTATTTATAAACAACTGTCAGAGTTACATAGGGGTGAAAATGTTCTTTCTATTGGTTATAAGCAGTAGCTAATTAGTAGTAGGTGGGACTAGATAAGAGCTTTCAAAAGATTGGTGCAGTGGGAGGAGCCACTCTAGTAGACTTGGTGTTTCAGTACTATGGTCACCCATTTGATGTGTGTGGAATTTCGCAGCATAAGTATATAAAGGTGTTATTTGAGCACATTCTTATAGATGATACTACCCTCTCTCACTTTCACCACACTTAGAAAGTAAATGAGAAATACACTGACAAACAAAGATTTCGAGTATGTAACCATGTTATGAAATGTTGCGCTCGTGCATCGAACTTGCTAAGACTTGACGTAAGCCTTGTTTATTCTCCTGGGTGGAGGGGTAAAGATACTAATTTCTGCAATTTTATTACCCTGGGAAATCCCTGTTGAAAGTGTTGTAGGAACTATAAACTGCTATATCCCATATTGTGTTCTCAGAGCAAGGGGAATGTCACCTCACTGAATACGCGTGCGTTTTTGCACTCGAGAGTTTCGTATTATGGTTGTATGTAAACACTGTGTCTTATAACACGGGTGGTGAATTATTGCTTTTTTGTCAGCAAGTTTGTAATTTGTCGGTGACAGTAAAATAAACACAGAAAATATATGGGATATGTTTAGCAGTTGAAACTGTCAGGGGAAAAACTTTATATTTCTTTATATTCGTTATATTTCTGATTTTGCAATTTTTATTTTCATTCTACTTCAGTGAATTGTCTACAGGCTGAAGAATCAAATAATAAATGTAATAACAGGTAAAATATAACATTTTATTGAAAAAAAAAGGTATATATGTATTTAGGAGGTTCCATAGGTTGTGCAAATAAAATTCGAGATTTTTTAAAATGAAAATCACTTTGCACTTAGACTAGTTATAAAAAACAATATTTGCACAGACAAATATAAGTAAAAATACTTCATTAAAAAATCAGATTTTTTGTGTGCAAAAGGCTTCTAATGTTTATTATAAGTCTACAAAATTTTGAAAAGATACACTTAAAATATTATAGTTATAGCATGAAACTATAACAAGCACAAAATGGATTTTAGTATTTCCTCATTAAAAATATTGAAAGTTTTTTTATGAGTTATTTCTAGTACATACTTATTTAATGTGTTTGTCAGGTCTGTTTTCACATAATTTCTCTGATTTATTTGTGATGAAACTAATTATTACTTTTGAGCATTGTTGTTTATTTATTATGTATTCTGTAATTTGTTTCCTGTGTACATATTTAAGCATTCAACTTAGTTTCTCTAGGAACAGTTAGTTGATTAGGGTTATTTCAGGATCTTGGATGGACTGTCAGTGTACTTGCTACAGATCTTCTACAAGTCTAAGTGTTTAAAAATTCCATATGCTTCTTACCCAATCTTTTAAGATTCTTATTACAGTTTTTTTTCAACATGCAACTTGAGCTTCATTTGGTTTCAATATAATCGGATTTCTCAAGTGATTTCTTTACATGTTTCTATTTGTTGCATGGTCTTGTCTCTTTTGGAGATATTACCTAACCTTAAATGATTCATTCCAGTAGGTAGAAACATTTAGTATAGCTTGAAAACCCAATATTAGGTTGAGTTATGTTGTTTATTTTTCTTCTTCTCTTTGGAAATAACTTCTTTTTTGGCTGGAAAGTCTCCATGTAAATGTCAGTGTGTCACTCAGACATTCTTTTCGTCATGGTATGTTGTCCTGGATTTTGTTTGGAAAAGGGGACTAGACCCTACTATACGACAGCCTCAGAGTGATTCTGGATAACATGTGAATCACCAACATGGAAGAACAACATCAACTGTTGTGGATTATTTGTGTGCTGCTGGTCTCGTCAACGTGTGCCGTCCACTACGTGGCACCGGAGGACTGCCGCTGGGAGCCTCTTAGTGTTGCTGGAAGCAGCGACGTGTCCCTGACATGCAGTCTTAGGACCCTCAATGGTGCTTTCGACAATACCAACTTCAGTGTCATCCAGTCAGCCCACACCATCAGTCTGACAGTAAAGTGGAAAGACTCCATGTAAATGTCAGTGTGTCACTCAGACATTCTTTTAGTCATGGTATGTTGTCCTGGATTTTGTTTGGATTCCTACACTTACTGTGAGTTTTATACTCGAATGAGATTACAAAATATGCATACCTTCTGTTAAACATGTACTGCTCTTTGACTTCATCTCCATGACTGGGTTGTTCTAATACATTTGAATGTTTCAAGATGGTTTTTAAATCAATTATTAAGGGAGCATTTGCTACTGAAATCAGTTTCTTGATGCCTAGTCTTTTCATTTAGGCAGTAGATTCCTTCATAATGTTTTAGGCTTGTGTGTTACATTCTATGAGTTATGAAGGTTGTCCTATCAACTAGACTTTTGTCTTTCTTCTTCCTGTAGTATTGGGAGCTATGGGAGTACTTCATTTTTCTGACTATTGATACCCTTGCTACATCTCTCAGTTAAATTTTCATTTAATATGAATTCACTTGTCTAAAATCTGTTCATGTTTATGTCTATCCTCTTGTAAATTAGTTGTCTGAAAAAACGATTTTCAGAGTCAACTACTATTTATGGCCATAATTTGGTCTATTCAACCAACTTTCCATTTTTCTGTGCTTGTCTATCCATTTTTCATATTTATTTCTTTGTAAGATACTCTTTAATAAATAGCCTTTTTGTTTATGTATCATCTGAAATCTCAGTGTCTTTGATTTCATATTTGGTTGTTGGGTGTATTGTATCCTTCAGCTTCTCTGATCTTTCTGTTGTATTTTTCTTTCTTACAATGTTATTGAGTTGCTTTTTTTTCTGTTCGTTATTTTATGTAACTCCAATTTCACACCTTATTATTTCTTATTGTTTTTCTGGAATTGTTTTGCTCTTATATCCTTCATTACTACCCTTACCTGTATAGGGACTTTTAACTAATTTTTAAAATTCTCACATGACTTCTTTTTAACTTCTAAGTTCTTTTCCAGTGAAGAAGTATTGTGTTTTAATAATCTTTTTGTTTCATAAGAATAAAAATAATAGATTTATCATGAACTATGATAGTGGTTCATAATAGGAATCGCTAGGAATTGCACAAAACCATAATAAAATGTTTGGGCAAAAATCACCTTAAATAGTAAAGATTCAGTTCAAACAATACTTTAAAAACTTTACTATTGACAGCTAAGGCTGTACACATATATAAATGCACAATAAAGCATGTTTGTTAGATTTACAAGGAAAAGAAAATATGCTCAAAATGGCCCATTCTTCTTATTATTCTCTTGTCAGTCTTCAACAAAAATGGCTAGGTATATTGCACCCAAATCTTTTGTAGAATATTAAGTAAGGTACTGTGAAGGTTGTAAGGGTATTAAAAAGACAATTTGTGATCAATTAGTCAATATCTACAGTAAATCAACATGAACTGTATCAGCTATCTACTGGCTATGTTTATTATCGTTACAGTGTATAAAGTTAGCTACCATATCAAGTAATCCTTTGCCTACAGTTGAGCATAAAAAAAGCCAGCAAACAAGATAAATAAAAAATTGAGAATTTAAAACCTGCAAATAGGGATCATAAAAAAAGTAAGGAAATAAGGCTGGAGATACTGTAGACATTGTTTACTCAAATTACAAATCCCTATTTTGACTCCACCAAATGTAATTGTAGGTAACAGCATGGAGCCAAAAATCTACTTTTCTCAATGGCAGTCACAAACAACTCTTTTACTGTGACAATCTCCCCAGGTCTTGAAATGGCTGCCAAACATCTCTAGGTGTTGCCTGTGAGTGACATTGGTAAACACAAACATAAATTGACTTATCACTCAACTTTTTGAATTATTCAGTAGAGGCAAGGGCACACTCTATTTACTTTGTAAAATAATATCGCTTGTTTATTTATTGACTAAAATCAACTCAACAGGCAACCAATTGTCCATCACTTGCCTACACCTCAGCTTTTTCTACATTTTTGGTGTATTTTCACCATTATTTAGGTAAGTTATGTACACCATATTTTTGTATTGTACCTAACTGAAAAAGTGAAAATAAAAACTTCATTATTTTATTGTTTTTTGTTGTTTTTTTTACTTATTCTACATGGCATCAACCAAATCTTGTACAATATATATATACATACACACACACACACACTAGAAGTTATGATAACATTTTGGGTACATAATGCAATTTCATGTTTATGGAATACATTTGGCTTCTTATTGAATCATTTGGTCAGTTCTACTGTCATATATTGAAAAACCTTTTTCAACAAATGTTGCACATTTTCTTGTTGGATATCTAAATTTCCATTATTTATTGTTGTTTTCAAGAAATTTTAATACCAGATATTGGAAACCTTGTTGTCATTTCAAGTTGGAAAATAATAAAAGAAATCAAATTAAGACTTATTTTTTGATGGAGAATTAACAACTTTTGTAGAACTCCCTTGATATATAATTATGCAATGAAAGGGTCAAGTTAACAACTTAAGGTATCATATGTAGAATTATACATAGAATTTTCCCTATGTTAAAATACTTTTATTTGCAAGCTTTCAGCCCTCTTACTGAAGTCTTCATTGAGCAACAGTGTACAATTTTCCCGATGAAAGTTTTGGCAAGAGGGCTGAAAGCTAGCGAGTAAGAGTATTTTAACATAGTGAAAAATCCATGTATAAAATAATTCTACATATTAATTTATCTATGTTATGAGTCTTTAAAACAAGGTAAGGTAAAATGTTTTCTATTAAAATAATTTTGTTGTCAGATTTTGCTTTCAGTTCCTTAATAAACATCCCATATCTTAAGGCTTTGGTTGATTATTGTATATTCTATACTCATTAGTGCTCATTTGAATAACTCGTAAAACAAAAACTAATTTTACTGAAAATAAATTTTTGTTAAAATGTTAGAAAAAGTCAAACTAAGCTTAATTTCCTCCTTTTAAATTTTATGTGACACCATTAATGTCTACTGAAATTTTACACTGTTATGTATGTACATGCTTAATATTAGCAGTAATAGTTTTATTTTCATGTAAAAATGCTGTAATTCTAAAAAATAACTAAAATAATTAAATACATTTTCTCTAAAAAGTTGCCATGGCACTCTTTCCCCCCCCCTTTTTTTTGGTAGCTGTTTGAACAGTTATTTCACTAAACCATGGCTGCACTGAAATCTTATAACCTGTTTCAAATGAAAACTGAATGTTTTTAGAATGGATTTTCTATAAGCAATTATTTTATAAAAGTTCTCATATTGAATTTTTTTTTGTAAACATAGATATTCCTCGAGAACCATCTTTAGTCCTGATCCTGAAGTGGGGTGGGGAGCTAACTCCTGCAGGAAGGGTGCAGGCTGAAGAACTTGGTAGAGTTTTCCGATGTATGTACCCAGGGGGACAAGGTACGCATGACCTGGCAACAAAACTGGCACACACTCACAGTTGATTCTTTGTTCTTTGCCCTATCTGTTATTGTTTTCTTAAGTGTGTTAACTAATGACTGTAGCATTGGTTTTTATTCATTTTTCTTCTTTTGAGTGTTTTTTTTATTACCAAGAAGAGTTATTTGATGGTTTGAGTGTAATACTATTTTTTTTACTGCATGTTATTTCACAAGTACTTTTTTGCTCAAAATTTCTTGTTGTTTTTTACAAAGTCTGTGCACTAAACATAAAATAAAGAATTACAGAACTCTAATAAGGTAGATCTAAGAATTTTATCAAATTGGATCTAATTGCTTATAACATACATCATTACTCATTTAGGTTTTAGCCTTGGACATCGCTCACAAGAACAGTTTAATATTTAAAGTAAATAAACATACTGGCTAAGCATCCAGATCATTCACCAGTGAATTTACTTGGAGGACATCAAATCTGACATAAAGCACAGCATGACAATAAAATGCTGTATTGCTTTATCATCGAATCAGGCCTCCCAGTGAACTTTCAAAACCTTTATAATTGCTTAGTCTGTAATAACCCATAATATCCTATTTTTTATTTATTTGTTTTTTTAAATATCTTCAGTCCTTAAGAAATTTATATTTACATTATTTTTTTCTCCTCATTTAAAATGTAAAATTTAATTTGGTTCTTAGGTTTAGCTGTCATACATGTGCTCTGGAGTATACAATCGTTGTGGCCATTGGTATGTGAATATTCTCAGTTACAAGGTGATAAAGGTTATCCTTAATCATTTGATAGAAAGTGGAAACAGCTGTGTTGGAAATATATTCCCATATTTGATTATGTAGGACTTGTTTAAAATATACACTTTTGTAAGAAATATTTCCCCCAAAATACCCTGTATTACAATCAAATTTAGCCTTTATTTTAACCCTATGGTTACGGGTCCCCTTTCTGTGGTGTTTTGCACATGACACAAGCTTTAACTAAGTTATATTCAAAGTTTAAGTAAGCAACTTTACTATCAACTTATGTAAATGAAACTAGCATTTTGATGTACGTTATAATGCAAGGTTTTATACCATTTAAGTTTTAATTCCTTTATTTCAAAAGAAACCTAAAAAACAATTCTTAAACTGCAGTTTTGTTGTTGTCACATGATGTACAAGTATTCTTTTCTTCAGTTTATGTAACTTCGATACTTTTTCATGTAGACAGTACGATGCATAGACAGAAATTAGGTTTATTGCTCTGTTTACACATTCTTCTTTCAAGCTCCTTAGGGCACACTTGAAGAAAGGAGAAATAAATTTCTTGGAACTCATGACAGACACAATGCCCACTCTCTGCACATAGAGTTGCGATTTCTCGGCCAGTTATACTTATTTGAGTTAGATGTTTATAACAAATAGAAAGAGCACATTTTAAAACACAATCTCCCAATAGTTATTTTAAAATTGGTGTGAAGAATTCTATAGAGAACTAATCAAACTACTCTTAGCTTTTGTATTAGTATTAAGTAATTTATTTGGACTATCACTACGTTACTTTAGTTTTTATAATGCACAAGCTGTTATTTATGTTTTAAGGTAAATTTTTGAAAAGCTTGAAAATTTGTTTAAATGTAATCCAACTCCTCCTCAGTTCATGGGGATGGGGGTTAGTTTAGTAAGCAAGAGCAACAACATTCTGCAGAAAGCTAAAGTATCACTGCTGATGATACCATAATATTGGTCGGGGATGCCCATTGACATGTGATAAATAATAACAGTGCTTTAGGACGAGAAAGGAAATAAAACATTAAAATGAACTATATGTGCAAATGTAAAGGCATGCAATTAAGATTCTAACCAAAATAAGTTGTTTTAAGATTATCTGATGAAAAATTAAAAGGTTTATACATTTTTCCTTTATCTTAATTTTAAACATTTCATTGTGCTATACATTGATGATAATAGTTACAGTTAGTAATATGGTAGAGAAAGTGAAAAATAACATAAATATTTACCTTAGAAAAAAACTTTTTAGGAGGTGCTAGGGGTTATGCAAATGAAATTTGAGAACTATAAGATGGAATCACCTTTCACTTGAACTATTCAGAGTCTGAGTGAAAATAATTACAATATATAAATATCGAATTTATTGGAACTACTTGATTAAAATAATCTCATTCTTTGTGTACAAAATACTTGTAATCTGTACCAAAATCTTACCAATCTTTATGAAGGTATTCGATGACGAGGAACCCACTTTGAGACTAATAATGCTTGGAGACGGCTTGAATAGGTAATGAAGAAAAACTTTAATGTAAGTTCAGCATAACAGCAAATGTACAAGGTTTCAACAATGTTTTGTCATCATCAATCCATCTCCAAGCAAAATTGTAAATATTATTGAACTGTTTATCACTCTCCATATGAGCAAATGCCAAATGGATATACCCGTAACCATAGGGTTAAAGTCTGGCAACAGCAAACACCAGTGGGAGGCCTGCTGATTAACATAAAAAATAAAAAAGAGGAAGTTTGTACTTATTTGGTTTTGACTGATTAAGAAAATTTGTATTTTTGTCTACTCTATAAATGAAACCATAAATTAATCACATACAGGGTTTTATCCAGGTTTTCTTAAAAGTGAAATATTGATCCTATTCCAGTGGGATCTAAATAATTTTATCATGCAAAAATGATGACTTTTGAAATATAATCAGTTTTCATTCATACTTTTACGTATATTACTGCTTTAAAGTCTCCTTTTCATAGCATAGAGAATATAAGCATAAGAACTTTTTGTATTGTTTAAACATTTAACGCTAGTTTTTCCAAAAATGTTATTATTTCTTATATTTTCTTCCAAAATATGAATGATTTTGACACATGAAATCTGGATAAAACCTGAAGTAAAATGAGAACTAACAACATGAAGGATGTACACATTTACAATAAATAACTTATTTGTTTTGTTTTTTATTTGTTTGTTTTTTCCTTTAAATGCAAGCTATAGTTAAAGATTAAATCAAATGTTTTTTCATATTCAGAGATGGAGTGAATCGGCCTTGGGTGTGTGCCACGGCCAGGAGATGTTTTTTGTCATCAGTCAGGCTTGCACGTAGATGTGATCCTTCTTTTTCCAATCCTTGCATCTTGATTTACATCCTCAGCATGTTTTCTGTCTCTTCCCCTTTTTGTTTTTTAATAACCTTTAATATAGTGCATTGAATCTGACCTGTTTCTGAAATTATTAGCAGCTACTGATTTTTACAATCACTCAATTTGTATTAGTTAAATATTAAACAAATTGTCTTGTTCATTATTGTATTTTCTAAACATGAGATAGCTTTTTGTTAGCTCTAATATAGGAAAAATGCTTTCACTAATCAGCTGTGAGAATTAGATCCTAAGCTGGTCTTTAATTTTAGTAGGAAACTTTTGAATGCTTTAGTAACACAATTATTTCACCTTACATTTCATATTAGAACCTTACATACCAGTATACTTCAGGGAGTTAAGAACACCTTTACATTTTACATAGTTCTGTTAACACATTTTCTGCTGTTACATGAATTAATAACTCAATTTTATAAAGAATATTCATAAAAGTCCATAAAAATTATGTTGGCAATTTCCAGGTCTTGATAGTGCTTAGAAATGGTTACTATTCTACCACTGTTACTGAAAAATAAGAACCTAACCTATAAAAATAAAAGTTGGCAATTTTTGTAACATGTTTTTAGTTTTGTTTATTGGTATCTTTCTTTTTTTTTCTCGCAAAGTCTCAGCATGCAGCTCAAAAATTAGGGTCTTGATGATACTTGATGTGCTGAATGTTGAATCTGGATTGAAAAGTACAGTGACATTACTGTTTATGGAACATTTCTGTAGATTTTACTTTTGAGACATTTATGCATCATCCATTCCTTCAATTCTCTTAGATTTACAGTACTGTGATATATTGAAATTTCAGTATGATGGTACATGACTTCATCTTAATTTCTTTATTCAGTATTTTTCTGGCTGTATTTTCTTATTTTATCATTCCCACAGTTTTTGCTTTCATAGTGTTGAATTCAGACGCGTTGTACCATTTAATTGAATAGTACCATTAATTCAGACAAACATTTTGAAATGTACAGTGCCATTTTGTTTTGGTTTTCTGCATCTGAATAGGAAATACTGACATTATATATATATATATATATATATATATATAA